TGCTCTCTCAGCTAACACTGGCTGGAGACAATTTTTATGGGGGTGCACTTTGAGTTCCTTGACAAAAGCATGCAATTTCTGGTTAACCTCTTGCAACAAACTCCCCCCACCTCCCAGCCTCAGGTCCTGCTCCCTTGTAGTCTCCTATGCTCTTACTAATGAAGTCCCCCACCCTCAGTAGACAGCTTTGTTCAGTGGGTTCATTCTAGATGCTTGGGCATGGGTACCAGTCACAAGACATAAGTGCATCCCCCAGTGAGCCAAATGGTGGAAGTGAATGCCATTCCCACTCTATCCTCTCCTTAGCCTGCCATTTCTGCCTCCAACCAGCTTCCTGCCTTCCAAATCTTCCAAATTCAGCAGGCTCAAGTTTTTTCTGTTTATGAGTGCTTCCAAGCTCTAGGACATTAAAATCAGTTTGTTCCAAGAACTCTAACATCAAGCTTTTCTTGGACCCATAGCAGTCCTAGGGCCTGAGCTTCCCCACTCAGTAAACTTCTCGGTTCTTCCTAAACTTCCCCCCAGGGTCCTCTAATCCCTGTCACAGCAGAGGGGAGAGAACACCCCCACACTCCTGCTGTGTGGACAGCTCCCTGCTGACTCCTCTATGCATTTTCAAATTTCTGATTTCAGAGGTAAGTGGGCAATAGGGGTTGGTAATCATCGGGTGAAGTCTGTCTTTTGGAAAGTCCTGGAAGGATATTCCTGGCATCCTTCTTTAGGAGATGGAATATTTATCACCATGATCTTCAGCTTTTAAACCATGGTCCAAAATTCCAAAACACTAGAAAAATCCCCATTTTGTATTCTGAGAGCTTTGATCCCAGATGGGTAGCCACTGTGAATGGTGAGGTCCATCTTCATTAATGGTTCTGGGCGTCACTGAAGCATGCAGGCCTAGGCAGGAGGGAGTGGCATTTAGTTACCACCTGGTTTTCTTTTCTAGAGCTCCATGTCCTCAGCCCTCTTCTCTAGAGAGGCATCTTCACAGAGTAAGGCATCTCTTTGGCCCTTACCTTTTCCAAGTGAGAAATTCTAAAAAGGCAGAAATAGTTCTCAAGGAGAACATAGGTATCCAATCTGATAGGACCTTAAGTGCCGCCCAAGTGAGGACATCTTTCTTGGCTTGGGAATACAACTTTTCTTGCCGAGAGCCATTTGTCACCTTCTTCAACTTAAATACTTTCAAAGCCCAGGTGTGCATGACCTGATGCAAAATAAATAAATAAATAAATAAATAAAAGCAGACAGGATCCCTGTCTTCAAGGATATTTGTTGCCTTGGAACAAAGTGCTACAAATATGGAACCAGGTGTGTAGTTGGATATTAGTTTAACTCAGACATTAAGTAGCCAAATTCCTGCTCTTCACTTGGCTCTTGCGCCAAGAATGAAAGACTTGAGGCAAAGTGTTTACTGTTGTTGTGTTTTTCTCTTGCCACAGTTGGTGATTCTTTGTTTTTGATGGAATACATGGCAAGTTGCTAGAGTGTTTGACTTCCTTGATGCTGCTCCATATTCACCTATTTCTGACTTCGGCAATAATTGCAGTGCCAATCGCCAGCTTTCTATATTTACCAGCAGCTGCTTCAGTGATGTGGAAACAATTTTCTCAACAGCTGAAAACCATGAAGATACAGAGTAGGACATTTTGTTCTTTATAAAAGAGCTTAGTTGGGATGAGCATGGGAGGAGTGAACAATCCAGCACGCATCTTTTTGTCTCTGCATCTTTTCCACTTTTCCCAGCATGACATCAGGCTTAGGTGGAGAATTTATGGTTTTGTCCAGAGAGGAATGAGTGAGTAGCCTCTGTGGCATATGCCAGAATACTTGGAATCAGCCAATGTGGGCCAGTATTCTACTTTCTCGGAGGTGGTCTTTGATTTTCTTGATTTATGTCTAAAGGTTTGGGAGGAAGTGGCTTATCCCCGTCTCTGCTTCCAGCCCCACTTTACCAGCTGCCTAGCTCTAGACATTCAGCATTCGGTGAACACTTCTCTATAAACCATTATCAAAGTCAATTGCAGAACATCTGCCCTCCGTGGGACACTGCAGGGCCCAGAGGATCTGAGAAGTATGGGACACCACCTGTGAGGTCAGAGACTTCCAGACTGCAGGCATTTTGACTATATGACTGAATAATAAATGGTACCCTCTTTATAAAGCCCTCACATGGTGTCTGGTTCATCCAAAACCCTCAGTGCAGAATGATCAGAGAAATCGTTATTGCTCTCAAATTGTGTCTCAGCTGCTTTCAGAGCTCTGGGATATCTGGGCACTAATGTGCTTGTAAAGAGAGCAAGACTTACCATCCAGAAACATGGCTTCTAGTCCCAGCTCTGCTCCCACCAAAGAAAGGTGGAGCCACATTGAGAGGCTAACATGGACCAAACGTTCTAAGTGTTGTGCAAAGCACATCATGTTGGCATTTCACAGATGAAGAAGTGAGGGTTCAGAGACTGTAACTTGCCCAAGTTAATATTCAAGTCCTCCTAATTCCAAAGCCTGGGCTGTTACCATCCCTAGGCCTTCCATCTCCCTAGATCTCAGGGCTGTGCAGGGGGAGACCCTAAATGGCTCTGCCAACCCTCCTGAGCCCAACCGTCTTCAGTTTCTAAAACTGAAAGCCATCTCTAAAATTTATTTTCTGATTTAAAAAATCTACCAACCAGCATCTTCCTTATTATTTTAAATCTTTACTGCCACCTAGTGGGCATGATCTAATCAGAAGAATGAAAAAAATTCGGTTCAACTTGGATTAAAAACTGTCAATTCATCTTAAACTCATCCTGTGCTCCTAACCTTTAAATATTGTATGTATGAGCAAATATCATGGCCTTCCATTTTTATCCCTATAGTAAACTACCAGACGTGAGATCCCCTTTATAAAGTTTTTTGTTGAGATGCTGGGAAACATAAACTCCAGCTTAAAATAAAAAAAATAATGCTTTGTGATCATATAATACTCGCTCAGCTAATAATGGGCAATACTTACAGAAATCCTAATCTGCAATAATTTAGAACTTGTATAGCAATTATATTTTTAACTTTATAAATATTTGCTCTTTTTTTTTTTTTTTACACTCTCGTGGTAACAAAAAAATAATTCAAACAACACAGAGGATGTGAAGTAAAAAGTCCTCCACAGAGGAAAATATCTTAGGCATTTCAATTTTCTTTTTTAAGAAATGTTTTATTTACTATACAAGCATGTGTGCAAACATATATATACCCTTCACTAATTTTTTGTAAATGAGCTTATGGTATGCATACTGTTCCACAGGTTGCTTTTTTTTTTTTTTTTAACTTAATCTATTTTGGACATCTTTCCATGTCCGCACACAAATTGACTCATTCTTTTTAACAGTACATACTATTCCAGTATTCCAGACTCTATCATAATTAACGTAACCAGCTCCTCATTAATGTCCCCATCAGCTGTTTTCAGTTTTGTTGTTACAAAAGTGCTGCAGGAAATACATGTATTTTCTTCAGGGAATACATGCATGGACACATGCCAGACACACACACATGCACACTTATTTGCAAATTTATTTCTAGACTAAAATCTTAGGAAATTGCTGGATCTAAAGGTACATTGATACCCACTGACCAAAGATCACCAGAAACACACCTGTAGTCAAAAAAAAAGGAGGGGGGATAGTCAAGTTAACTTAAGCCCCAGCAAGGGAGAACAGCAGGGGAATCGTGAGCATCTCTGAAGGAACTGTCCTAGGATGGGAGCGCTTGCTGGGTGGCATTGAGGAGGAGTCAAGGCAGTGCGAGCAGTTCTGGGCTGGGTTCTGTCAAGACGCAGGAGCAGGTCAGTGAATGGGCATCTCAGTAAGTTTTTCTAGGAGGAGAGAGTTAAAGTAGGGCTAGGAATATCACTAGTAAAGATGCAGTCTTCACACACGGGGTTGGAAGAAGGGGGTGTTTCATCATTTTGTGCGCCAAGTGGCCTTGTCTGGGCATTGCTTTATTGCATGAGTGTTTCCTCTAATCAGCAGGGACGTGATGGCCAACCTCCCAGCAATGCTGGGTTTCATTTGCTCACCTGCATTGATTTTAAATGTCTGTGGATGTCTGTGTTGCTTTCCAAAAAGGTTGCATCAATTTACATTCTTCTGGGTTCTTTTAAATACTCAACGTCCCTAACAACGAAGTATTCAATCATCAGAATAATGGCAATTATAATAATAGGAAATGTTTATAGGGCCACTTCCCACATGCCAGCCTCAGTGATAACCATTATTTCATTGAATCCTCGTCGGAGGCTTGAGCCAGGCACTCATAAGGCCCCCGCTTCCATATGAAGAAACCCAAGGCTTAGAAAGGGGGAGAACCGGCCAACAAGTTGTTGTGCTGGGCTGGGACCCAGGAACCAGGCCAGCTCCTTCCAGAGCCCACGCCCTTTACCACAAAGAAACACTTTCTCCTTCATCTGCTTCACAGGAGCCTGCCATGGAGAATTTAAAGCTAAGGAATTAAGAGCTATTCAACTGATGATCACAGATCTTCAAAAGTCTAGTTTAGGATGATAAAGCAGGAGAGTCCCATTTACAAAAATGAGATTCATGGGCTGCTTTCCAGGAATCCCATGTATATTGTTCAGTGAGGCATCCAGCATGAGATGCTCAGCTACTCACATGTGCCCTCAATTAATAGAGGCCTAGGAGAGCTTTCTGAAAATCACAGCCAAGACAATGTAATTAAATGTTCCCTGCGCCAGCTCGAGCTCGGGGGGTATTTCAATCACCCCCAAGGAAATGAATGGAGGAAGGACATCCATCCCCTTGGATCCACTGAGGTTCCTGGAGTTTCCATGCTGTGTGAGGCTAAGAAAGACTCAGTGCAGGGAAAGGGAGTGGAATGACACGGTGCTTAAGTCACTGTTTGCTGAGTGTGGGATGGGCGCACACCGGGGTTCAGAGCTGGCCTGCGTGTTGGGATTTCACAGAACACACGTGGAGTAACTGCTAACAGCTGCGCTTTTCCAGACTGTGCCGGCTGCGGAAGGGACATCAAGAACGGGCAGGCCCTCCTGGCCCTGGACAAGCAGTGGCATTTGGGATGTTTCAAGTGCAAGTCCTGCGGAAAGGTCCTCACCGGGGAGTACATCAGCAAGTAAGGCTGGGGCCCAGGCCGCGGGATCCTTGGGAGGGGCCCCCCAGCCCCCCCACCGGACATAGTGAGAGACATTAGCATCCCACCATCAATACGAAGTTTTGCTGTAGAACTTCTTTAGTTTTTATAAAAGGAATTTTATTCTGCTGCTGTTGCCATAGTCTGCCTGCAATAATTTTAATGAAATGTGAATCCTTGCCTAATTTAACAATTAGCAAAGCTGACATAATGTTACACGGTATGTTGTCATCAATTAAGCATTTAGTAATTTCACTTTCCCTCATTTTTTTTTTCTCCTGTTTGGAACTAGTAAGTAAACCTTTGTCCTCTTTCTAGGCCTTGAATGTATTTGTAGACACCTACCCCCGCCCCCGCCAAGACACACACAGGGTCTAAGCCCTGAGCGCATTGGGACCAATGCACAAAACAACCCACCAGGAATGGGTTCATGTTAGAGTCTGATGCTGCAGATAATAGCTAGAGTAAGTGCGGATAATAGCTAGAGTAAGTGTTGTTGTTGTTGTTGTTGTTTTAATGTAGCCTAGAGAAACTAGTTACAGTGGTTACCTTTTGGCTTAAGGAAAAAAAGAATGAATATGGGCGTCCAGTGGCAATGAGGGAAAATTTTCCCCTATAAACCTTTCTATGCTTTAAAAAATGTTCTCCAACCAGGTTAAATAGCTATTCAAAAGAGTTACGTGAATTTAATTTAAGAACAGAGTGAAACAACAACAACAAAAGTAACATGAGCCCCACCCCCTAGAAATCCAATTCTGTAGGTCGGGGAGAAGCCCAAAGGCCTGTAGCAGAAGGAAGAAACTTCACAGGTGATTTCTGACGCACAGCCGAAGGAAGAAGAGACAGGAAAGTGCCCGACTGTCAAACTAACCGGAAAGGCTGTGTGGGAGTAGGTAACTGGGCTCTGCGGTGTGCTTTTTGACTCTTCCGCTCAATGGCACACCTAGAAAACAACATTTTTACTGTGCTCTGAGGTAAATGAGGTTTTGAGAGGCTGGATGAGCAGGCCCTGCGGCCCTCGGGCCTCCTGAGGGCGGAGGACCCAGCATCTCAGCGCTGCCAGGAGGTGATGACGTGGGAGCTCAAGGAAGCTGTGAGGGGAAGGTGGCCTTGGGGCCTCCTCAGAGGAGGGCGAACGCTGCCGCCACATCGGAAGCCCATCTGGCCTGGTGGGGAGAGGGAATGGAGCCAGTGTTTTGCTAGTTAGTTCTGAGACAACAGGGAAGCAGCAGGGGTAACCATGTGGTGATCTGGCTGTAATTTCTGTGTAGCCGGGAGAACCACAGCCCTCTGTCCACGTGGTGTGGTTCCCCGCGCTGTGGTCATGTCTGACCAGGTCTCCAGGCGTGCGGACGCTGGGTGGGGGAGAATGCCGGCATGCTACCGTTCTGTGGAGAAGGGCTCCGAGGACTCGGTCCTGGTGTCTTCCCTGCCCCTCGGCCCCCCCTCAGGAGCTGAACGGCGTTCTGTGTTGCAGGGACGGCGCCCCGTACTGTGAAAAGGACTACCAGGGGCTCTTCGGGGTGAAATGCGAAGCCTGTCACCAGTTTATCACAGGGAAAGTCCTGGAGGTAAGTGGCTCCCGTCAAAGCTACCGTCATGCTCCTCAGAAGCCGTCAGAAGCACAAAAGAGGCCCTTGTTCCATTCCCTCCATCTTCACCACTGGAGGAAAGCAAGTATCGTCGATGACGGATCGCTCTCTCAGAGATTTAATGGGTCGGGCTGTCTTCACAGGCAGTTTCTACTAAACGTTCATGTGCAGTTGGATTGATGGAGAATTAATCAAAAGTGATAAGGGGACCACTAGGAATTATGGAGAAGGAAGGGTCCTATGAGACTATTTTTGGACGTCAGACAGCACGTGTATGTGCGTGTCCACGTGCGCTCTCGCGGGTGCGGGTGTGCGTGTGAGAGGGCACACTCAGGGAGCAGGGGCTCAGAGCTGAAGCAAAGGAAGGGTGGGTGAAAGGTGAAGGCATACACTTCCCCACCCTTAAAAACCACATCCTGTGTGACCCAGAACACCCTGGGGCTTGGGTCGAGCCAACCCGTCAGGTTCAGGTGTGACTGCCTCCTGCCACAGAGCCTGGTTCCTGCTTTCTCAGCCCCGGCCCCACCAGCGGCTGCCTCTGGGCTGAGCGGAGCCCCTCTTGGGCCAGAGCCCGTCCTGTGGAATTAGGGGCCGGAGTTCAGAGGGAGTCTCTGCCCCACTCCCCACCCCACCGCCCCCCCTCCGTGGGGCCTTAACCAGATCTGATTAAAAAAAAAAAGAAAGAAAGAAAAGATTACCTCATATCCAGCCCACATTTCAGGGTGGAGACTGTGTCCTGGGCAGAAGTACGTCAGGACACGGAGCACCTGGGAAAGCAGCCAACTGGTCCTGCAGCTTTGACAGACACCAGGGCACCGAATCGCCATAACCACATGCAAACCTCCCAGCAGGGCGTGTTTCAGAGACCCTGGGCACAAATCTGAGAGGCCCCCGAGTGTCTGTGGGCAGCTGCTGTGGGATGCCCAGCGAGGTCTAGCATAGCTTCCCTAATCCCAGGGCAAGCTCTGGGGGATCGGGGTGGGGTTCCTCTCTGGGAGACACAGAAGGGCCCGCATTGGCTCTGTGCTAGGACCTAGTGTAGCTAACTGGATTGGGGAGATAAGGAAGTGACTGCTACAAGCTCTTGTCTTTTACCCTGGGGAAGGGGCTTCCAGGAAGAAGGAGCCGCCTCCAGAGGCCCAGAGGCAAAGGACAAGCAGAGCAGAAACAAAAGTCAGATGGGCAGGAGTGCAGGTGGGAGAGATGACGCTAGGGGAGCGGGGAGGGACCGGAGCATGAGGACTTCGAGAGTCATATTCAGGACTTTGGGCTTTATCCTAAGAATGGTGGGAAGCCATTGAAGCGACTGTAGTTGGAGTTGAACGTGACTGGATCACATTGCTGTATAAAGAACGCATGGGACGGCGCCTGGGTGGTTCAGTCGGTTAAGCGGCTGACTCTTGGTTTTGGCTCAGGTCATGATCTCAGGATTGTGTTGGGCTCTGCGCTCAGCTCAGAGTCTGCTTGAGATTCTCTCTCCCTGTCCTTCTGCCCTTCCTGCTCGTGCTCTCTCTATGAAATAAATAAATATTAAAAAAAAAAAAAAGAATGCATGGGAGTCCTCAGATACACATAGAACCACACCCATAGCAGCTCTGTTCACAACAGCCAGAAGATGGAAACAACCCAGTGTCCGTGCATGGATGAATGGACCAACAAAATGTGGATATACAGACGAGGAATAATATTCAGCCTAAAAAAGGAAGGACTTCTGATACCCGCTACCACATGGATGAACCTTGAAAACATTATGCTAAGTGGAAGAAGCCAGACACAAAAGGCTGCATACGGCTTGCTTCCATGTAGATGAAATATCCAGAAGAGGTAAATCCATAGAGACAGAAAGCAGACTGGAGGTTGCCTGGAGTTGGGGGGGGCGGGGGGTGGGGTGGGAAATAAGAGTAACTGCTCATTGGTACCCAACTGGAGCGATGACATGTTTTGGAACAAGATAAAGGCGGTAAATGCACGACATTGTGACTGTCCTAAATGCTGCAGAATTGTTCACATTTAAATGGTTTATTTTATGGGATGTGAATTTTACCTCGAATTTTTTAAAAAATGGTTGGGAAGGGGGTGAGGGTAGAGACAGGGAGGAGACTACTGCAGAACTCAGGGCACAAAACAGTGGGAGCACTGGCAGGAGGGAAACCCGAGAGGTGGACCCACCCTCCACACACAGCTGGGGGGGAGGCAGAGTTTTCATGGCCTTTCCAGTTTAATAGCTGGCCCAAGTGGGGTCAATGCTGGGCCCTCGGAGAAGCACCCCTGCAGGAAAGCTATTGGAGAAGCTGGTTGTGCCCTATCCAGAGTGCAGCATGAATTCCCGGTGGTCAGACCACAAGAATCAAAGTGTGGTGGTGGGCGCTCCCCACCTGTCCCCTAAACATGTCTCTCATCCCTCCCCGGAGCTCGGAGGGGGGGGGGCCACAGCATTTCCTTTGGGGTTCCCAAGTTTGATCTGCATAAGACTGAAATAAACCCATTGAGTTGGGAGCAAGGGGGAAATTGCATTTTAGAACAACAGTAATAAAATATCAGAACCATCTCCCAGATGTTTGGCTGTAGGAAGAGCGATGGGGAGACACTGAGCATAGCCCCCGGATTTGAGCCAGCCACGTTTACAGAAGGCGTGGATCGAAACAGCTGTCTCAGTCCACGGAGGGAACTGTGTTCCCTAAAAAGAGTTGGGGAGGCAGCAGACAGGGGGTGCTATCGATGACCTCGGATTTAGTTCAACAGCTGTGAGAAGGAATGTTTAAAATACACACCAGGTCCAAGAACATGCCATTTTGTAGAAACATCCGCTTACTCCAGCTCCCCCCCTTGGAGTGGGTGTTGGCGGTAGCTGCAGAAGCTCCTCACCCTTTGGCTTCGGGTTTCAGTGAGGTCCGTCTGTCAGGTGGACGTTGTGGAGGCTTTGCACACGGTGCCTGCAGAATTGGGACTTCTGGGAGTCGTTTGTATGGGCTTCATGGTAGAGTCAAGACCCACCCAGCGGGAGTGCCGACCTCCTCAGAAGGGTGTGATCTAGAAAAATGTCCCGCCTGAGTAGCACACTGACATGTGACCAACTTCTGAGTCAGCTTAGCTTGGTTCCCCACGTGAACCCAACAGGTCTCAACACTCCACCCTCCTCCCGTGCCTTCATTCTCAGACCCCATCATTGAAACGTTATGATTGTGAATTTGTAAATGCTTTGGTCCCTGCCTTTTGGATTTTTTCCCTTCCATTTTAAAAATGTGGTAAAATGCACCTAACATAAAATTTACCATCTTAATCACTTTTAAGTGTACAGTTCAGTGGTATTAAATATATCCATGATTGGTGCAACCCTCACCACCATCCATCTCCATGACACTTTACAGCTTGTAAAGCGGAGACGCTATACTTACTAAACAGTAAATCCTCATTCGCCTCTTCCCCCTCAAGCCCCGACAACAACCATCCTATTCTCTGTCTCTATGAATTTGACTACTCTAGGCACCTTACATAGGTGGAATAGTATAGTATCCAGGTGTGTGTGTGTATGTCTACTTTACCTTGAACAATGTCCTCAAGGTTCATCCGTGTTGTAGCATGTGCCAGAATTTCCTTCAAGACTGAATGATATTGCATTATATGGATATACCATGTTTTGTTTCTCCGTTCTGTGATCCTTATCTTTTTTTGTTACTGTTGTTTCTTCTGATTGGTTGTATCCATAGAGATTGTAAATGTATTAGTTTCCTGAATCTGCTCTAACAGTGGGGGCTTAAAACCACAGAAACTTACTCTCTTACAGTTCCAGAGGCCAGAAGTCCAAACCCAAGGTGGCAGCAGGGCCACGCTCCCTCCAGAGGCTCTCGGGGGGAACTCTCCCTTGCCTCTTCCAGCCTGTGGTGGCCTGTGGCTGCATGACCCTGATCTCGGCCTTCATCTTCACATGACCTCCCCTCTATGTCTTCTCTCTTGGTCATCGCTCTCTCTGCCTTGCTCTTAGGAGGACACTTGTCATTGCATTTAGGGCTCACCCAAGATAATCCAGGATGATCTCATCTCAAGATCCTTAGCTTAATGATTACATCTGCAAAGGCCCTTTTTCCAAACATTCACAGGTTCCAGAGATTTTATGTGGACATATCTTCTGGGCCACCCTTCAAATGCACTCCAGTAAAGCTGGGAACTTAGACAAGTATCATCCAGTGACCCTCACTAAGCATCAGAGGTGCGCAATAGCCTCCTCTCTGGGTGCTTTCACCTGAGATGCCTCCAGACACCTGAGGAAGCTTTTGCCTGACCGACTGGGGAGCAGTGTCTTCATGTGTTTTAATGAAAAGGGCTCCATGTGATAGGGAATCCGGGCTCTGCTCTTGGCTCTAGAACTCCCAGCTGTGGGACCTCAGGCAAGTGTCTCAACTTCTTTGAGCCTCAGTTTTTCAGTACAGGCATTAAAAATATATCCAAGCCTTGGACTGCTTGACTCCAAGTTTCCTTGGCTCTTAGGACCCGAGTTCTGTAAATCTCATGTCTTAGGTCTAAGGGGCTGGAGTCAGTGGTTCTTTCTTCTGGAGAGATTTTCCTGTAAACTGGCATGGAGCATATGCTCAAATTGTAGCTTTATCATTAGCGGGCTTTCAGTTTTGTTTTCAGCCACAAGATTCTCTTTTTTTGAGAGGTCTTGCTATAAATGGTACATCTTTAAAAGTTTATGCTAATTAACCTATAAATTCAGGAGCTTTCTGAAGATGTTTACAACCTGCCTCCTAATTAAGTCCAGAATCAAAAACTTGAGTTTGCCAATAGCCTTCTATCTCTATCTGTATCTCAAAACTCGCCTCTGAAGCAACTTCCTCCCCCTCTCCCCGCCCCCCCACCACCACCGCTCCTCTCCCCTCCTTCTGCTTTAGCAGGCTAACGGTACAGGAAGCTACAGGAGACTTCGGACTTAGATCATAGATGTCAGCAGACATTGGGCATCCCTTTGGTATGAATTTCCT